CAGCCTCCCCGAGGGCTGGGACTACAGGCATGCGCCACCATGCCTGGCAAATTTAATACATTTAATACCCCTAAACTGTGCACTTATGAAGGGTTAAGATTGCAAATTTTGTGTTGCCATCTTAAATACCACAATGAAAAATGGAAAAATATGTATGCCCAAATAAAATCCAAGGAAAATCAGCTTCAATCAATCTGGGCAAGGTCCTAGAACTTTCAAAAGTTCTATAAGTGTTTTTGATACCGACTCAGCTTTGGTAGCCACTGATTTGAGATAAATTTATTTCTCTAGGAATTATAAGTTACATTCTAATTTTTGGTTCTATGATTAGAAGTTAAACAATTTATGTGCAAACATTTTTACTAAGCTATAGCACAATGGCATGCATTTTATTTTTATTAAAATAAAGAACTCTGAAAATTCTGTAAAAATGAACATATTGTTGGTTGTATTATCATTTATAACCATATCTTTTAAGAAATTACATTTATACCTTAGTGCCAAGAAAAAAATCTGTCTTTCTTAATAACTGATGTTTTTCTTTTATCAGTTAATAATTATTATATAAGTAATTATGCATAATTTTTTTTTGGTTTGGGCTGCCAAAAAGCTCAGAATGAAATTAAATAGTTCTGTTTTTTTAAGCCCATTATTTCTATTCCAATAGCTTTAATGTAGCTGAGTATCTTAATGAAAGCCACCTTAAATATTTTGTAAGCCTAGGTTTGGTATGAATAAATGATAATGATGATTGATGAAGATGATGATAATGGCAGCTGCCATTTTGCGGGACTTTCATTCACAGACTTAATCTTTTCTTAAAATTTAATCCTCAGCTCAACCTCATGAGGTAAGAATTGGTCTCATTTTACAGAAACTAAGTTAATTAACAATATAGCTTTTCTTCACTGATGAAGAAAATCATAATTACAAAAAAGGGAACTTGCAACTGTAGACATTAAATTACTTTCCCATGAATCCACCCAGCAGCTACCATTAATCTGCAGGATACAGGTTTTTACACCTGTAATCTTGGTTCTGCCTCTAAACAAAAGAGAAAGATAATGCCTTCAGCATTCTGACCCCTTGTGTGTGGGGTCTACCTTGGGTTAACTATATTTTGATTCTATGTTGCTTTTAATCTGCAAATGTAATAATTAAATACATAGTATATTTTTATTATTATTCATAATCCATTTCTGTTTAATTTGAAAAGAATGAGATGGGCAAGAAAAAGGAGGAGGAGGTATCCTGACTGAAAATATTCACATTGTTTAAAAACTAGAGATTATATTTATTACTGTTGGAACTTCAAAGTCCCTATGACTATACTCTGTCCACTCTTTTGGCTTCTGCTGTGGGAAGCAGAGCATGTAGGAAAAGTTTCCCTCCATATCAGTCACAATGCCCCTAGCTCACCCAACACCAGCAGCGAGCCTGAAAATCTCCTGACTTAGGCTACATTAAAGTGAAGGGAATCTGTGAAGGGCTGGGTCACTCATTCATTGGGGAGGTTACGCGTCCTTTGTCACTACTTCTCATTCATCTGCCTCTATTGACACATAGTTTCTGTTTCTTACTTTTCTTGAAGAGGAATAGTTTGGTTCAACCTCTCATTACCTAGTTTGAGGTCCCCTCTTGTGATTCTCAGAACCATCATGGCCTACCAATCTTTAGTGAGCCCTGGTCCAGCATGTCCAGGTTAGATTATGGTAGAGCAGGACCTGTGCAAAGTCCTCAGAAGAAAGCTCCATGTGCCATGAATGCAGTGAGCATCATGCATGTGATGATACCTCATGTGATTTCTCCTTATACATATCTCTGTATATACTTTAAACCAAACAAAGTTCCATGACAGTATCTTCTAACTTTCCCCAAATCTACACACTTATATCCAGGAAAAGCAAGAGGGAAAATCTGCAGAGTGCACTTTGGGCCTGCAAGGCCTAGGAATTAGCAGTCAGCAGTCACCCAAAGCAAGCATACCTTCCTTTCAAAGGTGTCCAGGATCCGGGAACTGTGGGAGCACTGAAAAGCACAGGGGTAGGGCCTGGTAGAACAAGGGCAGCTATGTGTCCTTGGCCAGAGCTGTGGTTAAATGCCCATTGGTGGTTATTCTGGGAATGCAGGCACCTACCTATATGCATGACTGATTTAACTAATATAAAAAGTTCTTTCTTATTTTTGCACCTTGAGGACTGTGAAGAAAGAGGCAAAAGAAATCCAAAATAAATTAATAAAATGAGTATTTTTTGCTGGAAAATACGAGTGAACTATACAGTAAACCCTCACAATATTTCCATGTGCTGAGTAGATGAATCAAGAATAGTTTTACATTTATAATTACGGGGGAGACGTGTGAAAGACCCTTATTCCTTTTTTTCCTTTTCTCTTAAAAAATGGTGAATAGGGCCTTTAATACTCAATCTTAAATGAATGTTGTATATTTTGGCATGGTGTCAAAGTGTTAACAGAACTTGTACTATGGTCTTTTAAGGGGAAAAAACAAATAGTTTAACACTGAGGTATTTTGAAGCAGGTGCCCCGGACAATTAAAGAACTTTGTGGCTTTTGAGGGCACCCTTCCAAGAACTAGAAATCTGAAAAATGAATACCACACTGTCACTTTGATAAAATATCTGGTTTTTGCTTCTATTGAGGAAAGAAACCAGAACTCAAAGAGCACAGAGAAAAGTTATGCTTAGTAAGGTGTAATATACAAGACACTTATTAAAAACTGCCAACTTCCCAAGGAAAAAAGTAGTATTCATTCCTTAGTTATTTAGGTACAAGAAGAAAACACCAATAGTTTAACTACTCTCCACTTTCAACTTTTCATTACATAGATAGGAATGTATAAAAATTAGAATTTGGTGTAGGTGAGGATATGATTGAAGCTGAAATTTTGTAACATAAAGCAAGGATAAAACAACAGTACAAAATAAGAAATGACACAGGATCAATAGAAAATAGGCAAGAAAAGAAGGAAAGAAGGTGGGCTGGGGAAGGGGAAACCAAGGACACTGTAGGGCAAAACGTAAGTAAAACAAAATGGAAAGGGATCACTTGAAGCACCGAACAAAAGCAAGGCTGTGGGTTTGGATATTTCTAGAGCATCACACAGGCATCAAGGGGAAATTGTTGTGAAGGTTCCGCAGAGTTCTGTGACGACAGCAAAGAATAGTCTGGAACAACAACATCGTAACTCTCTTGGCCTATGACACAAGGACAGGGAAATCATAGCAGCCAAACAAATAATGCACCATTGCCTCCGGTGAAGGCTCTGAGCTTCGCCTCTTGGAATGAAAGAAACGACGACCTCAGGCTGTGCATACTTCCTTACGCCTCGAGAACACGACACAGTTGCACTAGTATTTTCCACCGTCTGAAATGCCTTGGTGGACAGATAATTGGACAAATATCTATTTCTACTGCACTGCAGAAAAGGTCTTAAAAATAGGTCATTGACTCTGTTAAACTTTTAACAATTACTACCACCAGCAGTTCTGAAATTAGATTAGGAATTTTGGTATCTATGCTCATAATTGAAAAATGAGGGTAATAGGTACAAAATTCATTGCTATAATTCATCCGAAATTCAGAAAGTAAATGCGTATTCCCTTGTCATACATTCTATTATTTTTTCAATTCCTAAGAAACTTTCTTTAGGTTTATTTCATTTTGTATTCTATTCTCTATGTTTCAATTGGCTATTTGCATATTTGTCCTCATTATCATATAACATTTAGAAGTTTAAGTTTTCTCTAGGAAACTCAAAGTACTTAATGGCTTTTGTGCAATTTATCTTTCATACCATTGAACTGAGAATTAAGAAAGTATCATATCTCCCATTTTTACTAATCGGAGATCAGCTTACCTTTTATTTTCAATTGATGGTCGAACCTGGCTTCACTTAATTGCCTGGTGAATTTGGGAAGTTACTCATAAGCCATCTATTTGCCCTATCTCAGACCAATGGATTTAGAACCTCTACTGGCTGGGTCAGAACATTAGGACTTATTTAAAATTCCTAAGTGATCCTAACACACCCATATCGTCTAACTGACGCAGTCATTGTCATTTTCTTGTTTTCAGCCTGCTTTGAAGCTATCCCAGCCAGTGTTTTAGAAGTCATCCCCAGTCCTTAAAATAACTGTGGTTCTTTTCTCTGACTCTTTATTATTAACTGTATATTTTAATTCACTGAGTAGAACTGTATTTGTAACTCCTGGGGTTCCACATCACCCCCCACTCAAGTATCATCTACAGAAACCATCATCTACTCACTTCAAAATCCTGGGTCACAGTGATTCCTTTTCCTGTTTCACTTCCACAAACATTTCTAGAGTAACTAACTCATCCCTCCCATTTTCTCACCAGGACTGCTGATACAGCGTCTGTGTGTCCATGCCTTCATGAAGGAACCCATCCAGCCTATTCTCCACAGTGCTTCCCACTGTTGTTGGACCCCCCGCCCCCAGCAGGATACCTAAGCCTGAAGCTGCTTTATGTAATAAAGTGGTTCTCAACCAGGGGTTATGTTCCACCTGACAACATTTGATTATGTTGGGGGACATTTTTGGTTATTGAAATCTGGAGGATGTAACTGATATCTAATGAATGGGGACCAAGGATGATATAATATGTCCTATAGTGCATAAAACAACCCTCATATCAAAGAATATCTGGCTCAAAATGTCAGTAATGCTGAGGTTGAGAAACTCTGATTAGAATCCTCTTTAGCATAATGAGGCACAGCCACCACACCCAGGCCAAATGCTATGATCTTCATAAATATATGCCCTCCTGGCCATTGTATATCTCCAATGCCAGTTTTTTGAGCTGCCCTCCCTTTTCACTCTCATTTATATATTTGATTCTGATGTTCAACCTACAAACTTCTCAAGCATGAAGAGTACTTCTATATTTTACTTTACTCTCTGTAAGCAGGCTTTTAATAAGTGTTGATTCCTGAGAGGATTACAGTATAGAGAACTCACCCTAATTGTGTGGTGGAATACCAGGTGAACACCAACCTAGACAAAAAAAAAAAAATTGTGTCAGTAAGAGTAGGTGTTCCCACATCAATGATTCCATATCACAAATAAGGTCCACTTTTCCTTTTGCTAAACATAAAACTCATTGAAGACAGGACTTCATCTATGTTTTTGACACATGTACCTCCTAATAGGGCACAACTCATAGAATACACATTCCATATTTATTGTATGAATAAAACAGTGAAACAATAACACTGAGATAACACAGATATAGTGAGAAGCTCCCATATGCAACATTGAGGGATTCCATTGACAAATACATAATAATTAATATGAACTCTTACACACTTGCCATACTTATATTCTAATTACTAAACCAATTGAAATTCTTGCAAAATAAGAACCTTCACTCCGTGGTGAAAATAGTTACTGAGAAGTCCATTCAAACATTTTTTTCTCTGTATCTTAGTACAGAAATATAGAACAACTCTGGCATATAACAATCAACAGAAACAAATAATTTATTGGGATTACTTACAATAATCAATTTCAAACAAAGTTGTGAATAATATCTATTAAGAACCTTTTAGAAGATGCATTTTCACCCCTCTTCTACTTCTTGTGTTCACAAGGTATACACTGGTTGGATCTTAATGATTAATGACCTTAAACCAATTCCTACAGCATATTTTGTTGATTAAAATCTAGGTGAAATATTGGAAATAATTCCAAAAAATAAGATTTTTGAAAATGTTCACTTAAAAATAATACTGTACTTTTCTCTGAGCTCCAGTGTTTTTTAACAACAGTATTTTAAATGAATTATATTGGCTTGTTATGTGGCTGTTTAACGGCTGTCACAAAATCTTCATTTCAGGCATAACTATTTTAAATGATGAGTGATGTACACAAACACCCTAAGACAGAGTGTTGATAAGTTTGAAATGAAAGGCATACATAATCATTTATGTTTTGCAATTAGAAATTCCCTATTGAATTTTCATTTCAGATCATTTTAGTAAAACTTTATTTTTTAATCATATTAAATATTTCCTCTTCAGTATTTTTGAATCTCTAATATTTCCTACCCCTTAATGTCAGTGATGAATTTAAAAATTTTTATGCAAAGGATGAAGAAAATCCTGAAAATACCTCAATATTGCTTCCACAATTAAAGCTTGGTCCACCCTGACCAAAATTATTGACCTATCTTCTGCATGATAACCAATTCTTTACCTCGATCTTCTTCTCCTGTTGGGTTTATTGAGGGGAAAATGCACAAATAGTTATAAGTTATTTTGTTTAAGAAAAATTCATTTGACTTCTATGTGCCAGGATCCTTTCTAGATCCTGGGAATGCAGCAAGTATGAAAAACAAAATGGGCAAAATTGTTGCTTACATGAATCTTTATACATTTAGGAAAAATAAGCTGATACCAAAATATAGTCTCAGGTAATAAAATTGTCAAAAGGAAATAGAGCACAATGGAAAGTAATGGTGATGAAATTGCTGAGGGAATAAAATTTGATCAGGTACCTAAATGAATTTTTAAAAAGAAGATCTGCAGATATCTTGGAAAGAGAGTTTCAGCAGAGGGAAGCAATCTACAAAGGATTAAGGCTGGAACATGTTTGAGATATTCCAGGTAGAGCAAGAAATCCAACACAGCTGGATTAGTGTGAGTTGGGGAGCATAGTAAGATCAGGTCAGGGACAGCAGAGGACCAATAATGAAGGTCCTCACAGGCCACTGTGATAAAGACTTGCAGTTTTATTCTAACTGTGAGAGGTATTCATTGGAAGGTAGAAGAGTGACACGACATGATTTTGGTTGTAATCGGATCACTTTGACTGAACTACTGGGGTGGAAAGGAAGAGGAAGCAGAGACACTAGTCGGAAGGCCACTGCTGTAGTCCAGGTGGAAACAAGTACATCTTGGGTTAGGGCAGGTTGTAACCTACAGAAAGCATGGGGGATGAGTGGACAGATAGGTAAGGGGGAATCGACTCATACACTTAGGGAGGTGAAATCCCATGAGGTGCCTTCTGAAAACTAGAGAACCAGGGAAACTAGTGTCTGAAACTGAAAGCCTGAGAATCTACAGCTCTTATTTCAACATGAGAAGATGAAGGTTCCAGCTAAAGACAAGACAGCAAATTTGTCCTTTCTCCACCTTTATTTTCCTACCTGGACCCTCAATGGATTGGTGAGGGCAGATCTTCTGTGTACTTAGTTCACTGATTTAAATGCCAAAGACCTTCAGAAACACCTTCACAGATATACCGGAAATAAGGTTACCAGCTATGTGGATATTCTTTAACACAGTCAAGTTAAAAATCTAAAATTAACCATCAGAGTAAGAGAGATGTGAAGGGTTAGAGATGCTCTGGTTCCAAGTATATTTTTTAAATAGCATTGAAAAAAATATCCAATAGAATGAATATGGTGTGTGAAAGGGAGGAGTGAAGAATACTTTCAATGTAACACATCGTGGTTCTGTTAACCAAAGCAGGGTTTGAGATGAGAACAGAGTATGGTATGATTTGAAGACTTCCTTAGTGGCTGATACAAAACTGATGAGTGACATTGTGAGACAGATTTGAGAAGCACTATAAACCTTAAGCAAGACATATGCAAAGAGAATCACTTTCAGGTCGATCAGGAGCAAGAAAAAAAATCTTAAAATTAGGTAAAAGGCATAAAAGAGAATTATCTTTAAAATAACAATATTTAAACTGACTGCTGCCTTCTCAACTCAAACAAAGCCAGAGAGGAATATAGTAGTCTACTGTAAAGGCCAGAAAAAATAATACTTCCACCCTACAATTTTATACTGATCAAAAATATTCTTTCAGAACAAAGGTAAAATAAATAAACCTAAGTGAATTTGGCACCAGATGTACCTGACTAAATGGTATCTTCAGACAAAAAGAAAATGATCCCAGAAGAAAGTCTAAAAGGACTAAAAAGCAACAATAGAGCAAAGGTAAATGAAATTGATACTAATTGTAAAATAAACAGTAATTTTCTGGGCAATTTAATGTACATAGAATTTTTAAAGAAACATCATATAAGTCAGAAAAAGACTAATGAAGTTAATCTACTTAAAATTTTATGTTGACTGAAAAGAAGTTAAAAGTATCAAATAACAATATATTTTGATTTTTTTAAAAAGATGCACTTTCCAGCAAGCAAACCATATAGAAAGTAAAAGGGCACAATATAAGATGGAGAAAGAGGAATGGAATAATAAATTTTCATAATCATTCTAAATGTAGGCAAGCGAGGAGAGTAAAAAAGAAAAATATGAATTGATGAGAAGAATAGAAAACAAGATTACATGTATTTAAATTAAATGTAAATGAACAAAATACCCCAATAAAAAGACAAAAGTTTCTAACTAAATTTTTATAAACAAGTTTGAGAGAAACAAATCTAAAATATAAATGCTGTATACAAAAGAAGCCAAAAAATCAAACATTCCTATAATTACTAAGAAGATTGAATTCATAGTGTAAAACTGATCAGAAGGAAAATTCCAGACATAATGAAATCGCCTGTGAATTCTGCCAGATGTTTTAAGTGGAGGATAATATCAAGTGTATTCAAACACCTTCACTACGTAGAAAAAGAAGAAACACTTCTAATATTTTTGAAGCCAATATAAACTTGATACCAAATTCTAAGGTGGCTAGTATAAATAAGAAAAATAGCAGTCCGGTCTTCATCAGGAACATACATTTTAAATCCTAGCAAACAAATATAACAATACGTAAATAGAAAAATAAAACTTGACAAACTGTTTACTCCAGTACTGAAAATTTCATTTAACATTTGAAATTCAGTATCACACCATATTAATAAAATAAAAAGATAAAATTCCATTCATGAGGAAACTCTTATAAGAGTAAAGAAAATTTTTCTTAACCTGATTAAAAAAAATAGCTACAAAATGCTATGAGCACATGTTATACAGTGGACCCTTGACTTACAAACTCGATCAGTTCCCAAGGACTGGTTGTAACTAAGTCAGTACAGCTGAGATCTGGATGTGGTACACACTATTAATAACAAGATGTAGATGAATCTTCCATTAACCTAACTAACCCACATTGTTCATATGTCAGCCCTGTTGTAACTTGAGGGTCCACTGTACTTGGTATTTGCTGAAAACTTTGCCTCTGAGCTTGAGCAAGTTGGCTTGATTGACATTTTGAAATTTTCCCTCTGAAATTAGGAAAAATAAAAAGGACTACTCATCACCCTTCCTATTTGGCACTTTTCATAGTCATAAGCTATCAGTAAAACATAAAATGTAAATAGATAGACAGACTATAATGCAAGAAACATTGATTTCAGATAGAATTACAATATACACAAAATTTAATAAATATACAGATAATTCTTTAGAAATAATGTTATCTTAATAAGATGATTGGACTGAAGGTAATTAGAAAATGATGCTTTGTAAAAATATAACTTGTAATAAAGCTCACAAAGTAAAATACCTAAGAATGAATGTAACAAGAGATGTGTAAAATTATGTAGAATTTTGACAAAATACTGCTGAGATGAACAAAACTTGAACAGATGTTTATGAACTGGAATACCTCAATTGATCTACGGTTTGTGCAATCAATCCTACTAAAAATCACCAGGGGTGTGTGTGTGTGTGTGTGTGTGTGTGTGTGTGTGTGTGTGTGTGTGTGTGTGTGTGTGTGTGTGTGTAGTTTGGTAAGTTGTTATACATGTATGTAAATTGAAAGAATATAATTAGACTCTATTGAAAAAGAAAAACATAATGGGAGAACTTACTTGAATAGTTGTCATTAAAAACTATAGTAATGAAGACAATTGGGTATTACTGGTACAAGAACAGACAGATCAATGAAACGTATCAGAGACCTATGCTTATATATTAGCTTTCTTGTCACTGGGACATAATACACCCACAACTTAAAGGAGGGAAGGTTTTTAGGGAATTCACTCCACGGCCAGCTAGCACCAAGGTAGAAAGGTCATGGCGGAAGAAAAT